TGAACACCATGCTCCTAACAAACATTATAATGAACACCATGCTCCTAACAAACATTATACTGAACACCATGCTCCTAACAAACATTATACTGAACACCATGCTCCTAACAAACATTATACTGAACACCATGCTCCTAACAAACATGACCCTGAACACAAACATTACACTGAACTCGACACTCCTGACCAACATAAATTAACTTCGTAGTTCTGCCAAGTGATTGTTTTCAGTAGCATTGCATTCTTTGTGCACAAGATTATGACAGTTATGAATGGATTTTACATGAAATCTTCAGGACATGTTGGGGCCTAAATCACATAGGTTGTTTTTTTAGTGATGATGTCGTACTGTAACAGCCAATCAGCATCCAGCAGAACTTTGCTCAGCCATTCACAGCTCAGCAGCGGCACTCTCTCATTTGCAAAACCTAGGCAGAGTTTCTCCTACGTTACCGACTAATGCTACTTATCTTGTGGCTACGAGCTCCGCCTCTGTTCTGGAGGCATTAAATCTTTTTATTGCAGGGTCGGTCTCAGGTTTTGTAGGTATGACACTTGGTTCTGTTGGCAGGGAGGGAAACCTTGCTACTCCCTAGGAGGGTACCCCTCACTGCTAGGGTCTTATCAGGGACGTGCACCCTCTGTTTCCAGTTATTATTATTCACACCATTTTCATCACTAATTACTACAATTCAGTCATTTATTTGGCTTGTGTACACCTTCAAAAAGAGATTATGAAGCAWTTTCTTTAAGGTACAAATACTTATAATAATCATTAAGAAAAAAATCTAAATCTAATTACCAAACTCATGTCATCAAAACAGTTGTTTTTAGATAATTTTTATTTTATTTAAAGATTCCAATAAAGATAACAAAATAAAGTCAACCATCAATCATCATCGTTAACAGTTTCCTAAAAACATCGACTGCRTAAAGAAAAGATGAAATAAAAATCTGAATCAATAAAACATCTGTTAAAAATCCTCTGAGAACTCTGAATAGCACATGTGATAACTGATATGACATAGTCATTACAAAGGAAAGACTTCCCCTCACTTCCTCCATGGAAACTTTAGTACCTCGCCAGTCCTTGAGTTTTAGCTAAATTATTGCTTTTACTCAACTGTGGCTAACATGTATGTACAGAGTCCATTTTAACCCATGCTCTGGTAAAAAACAACAGTAAAGTACTTTCATTGATATGTTGTAAAGAAATAAAAATACACCTAATTTGGCTGTTGCTTCAGATATTCATAAACAGAAAAATACGTTTCATCACAGAATGGGTCAGAGTCTCCTGAGGTGCTGACTGCTAGAATATTCCCTCTGTATGGCTTCAAAATAAATAAAGCAAATGACCTTTAGCCCTGACCCTGTTTTTGAGAAGAAAAAAGAAGTGATGCAGCAGCAGACGTGTTCCTGACATTGGATGATCCATAGAGCAATGGAAAAAACCAGTGACCACTCATCCACATGAGAACAATGAACAAAGCTTCTCACACGATGGTTCAGTGGTTAGCACTGACGCCTCACAGCAACAAGGTCCTGGGTTCCATCCCCGGTTCGGACCTGGGGTCTTTCTGTGCGCAGTTTGCATGTGTGGGTTTTCTTCGGGTACTCTGGTTTCCTCCCAGACCATAAACCTGTAGAGTCGGCTGCCTTCAGGCATGATTGTGATCTGGTCTGGTTAAACAACGGTAAAATAAAAAATAAGATAGATGATGTCTGGGCCTCTATCAGCCTGTAGTTTTACACCTGATGACACCATCTCTTAAAAAATCTAGGTGTAGTACACCTGAAAGGTCTTCAGGTTCAATCCTCTGAAGAGGAGACACATGGTCCTCCACCCGGTCCTGGTCCTTCTCTCCTGAAGTGCCTCAGGTTCTATAGGTCCCAGCAGGTACCAGGTTTGTGCTGGTTGCTTCAACAACTTTGTTGTGTGCACAGCTGTAGACTCAGCTTGAGACCAGGTCCTGCTTCAGATTCTCCWCAACTAAGTGCCGTGAGCCCCTCTTCATAGATCCAGCCACCATGACTATAACCAACCAGCAGCTCGTTACTGAGGTCCTGTGCTGATCAGAACCATGGTGGTCCTATCACATGGGTTTAATATTTAACCCCTAACCTGCCTGGACCATCATGTTTTACATGATTTTAATTAGATTGTTTTCATCGTAGTGGGGTCTTCAGGACCTTAAACAGCCCGTTTAGACCAGGAGCTGCTGGTGAACTGCAGGGAGTCTAAATAAACCTCCTGAAGTGTTAGAGCTGATCCAAAGTTAAAGGTTTGAGTAGAACTTATACAACTAAAAACATCATAAAACAAATACATCCCTGATCCAAAGAATACAACAATTTGGAAAGCATGGTTGTGTGGTCCTGGACACTAAAGGCACAAAAAGTTGTTCCTAAAGATACCCGCAACATTGAATTATTGTTTGTAAAGAAGTAATAGTTCATAATAAAGTGTACCACACTGACATCCAACTCAGTGCCAGAAACATCAGATTTATTCTGAGTTCTCTCAGAACCCAAACAAATGCCAGCTGAGTGTTTCTGGACCAGCATGCTTGATGCAAAATGTTCCCTCACAGGAAAATCATTGTTTTTCAAGAAGCTGGTTTTGTCTGAAAAACCAGTTTTACTTTCAGTCGTTCTGCCGAGTAGCCTTGATCCAGTCCTCCAAAGTGGCATAAGTGGCCTCTGAGGACATGCAGTTACTGGAGAAAGGACTTTGAAGGTTTGTGAGAGGCTGTGTGATGCCACTGTGCCTCCTTAGATCTATACTGGGATCGTTGCTCATGGGTCGAGGAAGTAAGTTGGTGTAGGTGTTTCCTTGGTTTTCTCTTGGAGACTGAGAGAAACTGGAGTCCTGTCCAGCTGAGATCTGTGGTTCCTGCTTTAACTGGAAACTAGTCCTTCCAACCAGAAACTCATCCCCGTCCATTCCTTCCAGCAGGGGGAATAAACCATGTGACACCACTGCACCAGCTGCAGGTACTGATCCRTTAAAGTTGTTCTGGGCTGGACTGGTGCTGGTGAAGCCTGGCCACATATTCTGGATCCCTTGGTTTTGGTTGGCCAGATGGTTCTGGGCCTGAGACTCAGAGGTGAGCTCTTCCCGTTGATGCTGATGATGGAAGAGGGGTTGGGACACCGGCTGATTCAGGACCTGAGGACCCGGGTCCAAACACTGCAGGTCCCGCATGGAGAGCTGAGGGAGCGTGGGGTTCTCACAGTTGGAGGGTTCTAGTCGGTACACTGATCCACGGTTCTGCTGCTGCTGTCTGCTGCTGGTGGGACGGCTGGGTCCAGATGGGTTTATAGTGACTGTGTCCATTAAGGTTGCCTGGCTGGGATTCACCCAGGAGTTATTCATCTGTAAGCTGTGAGCAGGTGATGTCATCATGAGACCTGACAGACCGCTCTGGAAGGATGGACCGAACACAGAGGGCGCTGTGTTCCTCAAGAACGGATCTGAAAACAAGAGAGCAAGTTTGGGTCATGGCACGAGTTCTGCTTTAAACAAACCTAAAGTGTACCTAAACTCGCCCCAAGGTGCCAACAAGTGGGCGGTGCCAAGAGACACAGAGGGGCGGGACCTAATGTGGGGAGGAGCGAGGAGGTGTGGTCAGGATGAGGGAACATGACAGCTAGCTTGATTTGACAAGCTAACATTTCTGAAAACATTTCTGTAAAGAGTAAAGTTTCATGACATACATCAGGGCTATTCAACTGGCGGCCCGCAGGCCACATCTGGCCCTGAGTGRCCAAAGTTGGGCCCTCCAATTGAAGCCCTGGTTTTCTACTTTACTTACAACGAGTTGTTTTAGTTGAACATAAACACGTTTGTATCTACAGAAACATCAGAGTCTTGGCTACAAGCTGGTAAAAACATTTCTATAAACACTCAAAGACATTTAAAACTACAAACAGCTGAAGATAAAGTGATGAAAGTGAAAATAAAATTGGTTTGAAAATTTAGCAAGTCTGTGTTAAAATATAATTAGTGTTAAATAAGAGGCAGAATGTGTTCTTTTTGTTTTTGATAATGTTTAATTATCACTACTTTTATAGGGTAACAGATCTTTGTAATACTTGGTTTATTTACATAATAACTTTAATTTCTGGACGTTCCTCAGCTGTTGACCTGCAGCAGTTTAGTTGAATAGTCCTGACATCCATGCAAACTGACATTTAGCTGTTACAAACTAACAGGTAAAGTTCAGGCAACAAACTGTTGAAACAGAACTTTGGTCCAGAACAGAACAGGAAGAATAGTTTTCATTCCTGTGGTTCAACGTTTCATTTAAAAGGAAGAAGACGGTTCAGTCCAGGACTGAGGCTGTCCTGCAGGGTTCARAATAACGAGTGTAAAACAAAGTGGATCAGACTGAGCGTTGGGTCAACCGTCCTGTCAGAACTCAGCTCTGAGCTGCTTCTAAACATGTCTACAACTTTACCAACAACATGAATTTAAAAGGACAGAACAGGTCTGATGAAGACTACTCACCCTTCCTCAGGTGCTGCGGCACGGCCTTTGGCCTGTTCACTGTCAGACCAGAACCTAAGCCCCCTGAGGATCAGCAGAACATCTTGTTAAACGTTATCAGAACCACAGAAGGAGAAGGTGGAGGTGCAACACTCACCTGTCAAACCTGACATCTTCATCACGTATTTACGTTTCTTCTCATTGTAGCCGTATGGATCTGTGGACAGAATATAAACATCATGTCTCAGGTGGAATCTGAAAACATTCAGTTTGTGTTGGGTCGAGGCCCGGCCCGAGAGAAACAGCTCTGATTCAACAGGTTTCTGAACTGAAGCATCTTTAGAAGATTCTGGATAAAAACCTGTTAAAAAGTGAGCAGAGCTGCTCAGACTAATGATCGATTTTATTCCATATCTGCTGCAAACAGCTTCATGTGACCCTAACCTAACCTTCATGTGACCCTAACCTAACCTTCATGTGACCCTAACCTAACCTTCATGTGACCCTAACCTAACCTTCATGTGACCCTAACCTAAC